TTGCGTACCGGGCCGCCAAAGTTTTTTTCGGGCAAGTTCATAACTCGGGAATCTGAGAAGCTAGAAGGCTGAAATCAAGGGGATGTTTCCCGTCCAGGTAGGTGCTAATGGACTCAAAGTCAGCCCACGGTTAAGCGTGGTACTCGCGTACGGGACCGCCCGTTTTTTTCGGGCAAGTTCATAACTCGGGGATCTGAGAAGCTAGAAGGCTGAAATCGTGAGGGGATGTTCCCCGTCCAAGTGGGTGCTAGTAAGCTCCATGACAGCCCGCGGGTAAGCGTGGCACTCGCGTACGGGACCGCCAAAATTTTTTTCGAGCAAGTTCATAACTCGGGAATCTGAGAAGCTAGAAGGCTGAAATCATAAGGGGATGTTCTCCGTCCAAGTAGGTGCTAATGGGCTCAAAGCCAGTCCCCAGGTAAGCGTAGTACTCGCGTACGGGACCGCCAAATTTTTTTTCGGGCAATTTCATGACTCGAGGATCGAAACTCTCACACACCGCTCCCCCCTCATTCTCATCACAACTCCCTTCCCGCGTCTTCAACCCAACGCCCAAAATTCATGCACTGCCAACCCTCTTATCCACCCCCCATCTCCCGCCCTCTCCCCCTTCTATGCCCTCTACCGTGTACATCCCCCGCACCTCCTCCCCTACCCCGCGCATCCGCGATAAAACCAGCAACACGGGCCCCGCTCCCTTCCGCACATCCCTCCCATGTCTGCTCCACCTCCCCGTCCCTCTCATTGCCCCCTACTACACGGTCTGCGAGTGAATCCGCAAAGCGTGCAGCTGCCGAGACTGGCCGAGGCGAAGCCGTGAGTAGCCGAACGGAGCTATAGTAATTGCCAAGCAACGGGCCTTTCGAAACCGAGATTTTGTACGGCTTGGCACCATAGAAATCTTAGCACCCGTTAGTTGGATTCTCAGTTGCTTGTGGAAGCGAGAAGCAAAACAGGTTACCCCCGCGGAACGTCATCAAATAATACCGCTGCCAGAGACCAAACCGCAAAGAAGGGCTACGAGGGACGAAGGAAAAAGAACAAAATTCAGTGATCGAGAAGAGCAGTACTAGTTCAAACACCAATGACTGCAGGCTGAAAGTCGAAGGTCAACTGTAGCGCTGGTCAAGTGCTGCTCTAACACCGCCTCTGTAGCACTGCAGTACCACTCCAGCACTACTGCAGTGCCACTCTGACACCACCGGCTTCATCAGTTAGGAGGTAGTTCGTCCGTCCTGAGCAGTTCGCAGTCTCAAGTTCCCTGTAATCACCATTCAGTCCCTGCGCATGGATGTCGTATCTTTTATTTTTTTTATTTTACAGCAAATACAGTAAATAACTGAATATTTCACATAGCAGCAGCTCGCTGCATGCAAATACAGCGACAAACTGTGACAGGGAAAGAATCCACAGCTCAAGAGGAAACGGGTCTGCTGTGCCTGCTTATGTTTGCCGCACCTCATTACTGATCGAGGGAAATGGTGACGTTGAAATGGAGATTTAAGGAAGAAAAAAAAGGAACAGCGCACAATAAGAGCACAAAACACAAGACAATAATTTCACGTCACATATGCGCGGCTATTTTCTATTAAGATAAGTTTCCTTGAGAAAGAGGAAACCCCTTAATTGCTAATTTTTGCAACAAAATACATGAGAAAGTAAGCAACAAAACTGAACTCCTTAATCATGGATTAAAAGTAGCTGCACCCTGACACTGATTGGCTCGGCGAATAATACCTAATTTGGACGAAGCATTCGCCACAAAACGTTACTGACTTACATACATACTTGTACTTTTTTTTTCTTTTTTAAACAAAAAAACATATGCAGTCTGCAGCTGCTG